TAAAAATAAATAAATTTAAAAATATAATCATACACATAAAATATAAGAATTGACTGAACTGACTATATTTATATTATAATTTTAATAATTAAAAAAAAACATGTCAAAAAATATATTAAACTAAATATATACTAATAATTTTCCTCTAGTAAAACATTCATTTTTATCGCCGGTTCTATAACTTCCATTGTGCATGATACCGTGCCATAAACGTTGTGCGTGGAGCATTTTCGAAATTCAAACATCATTACTGAATATGTATCATGATCAATATTTTCATTGAAGATTAACATGTGCTAGATGTGCCATGTGATTGAATGCAAGAGTATAAGTCAAGGAAAAGAATCTGGAACCTCAAGATTTACATGCTCTCTCTTTGTTAAGCATCACTCTTTGTGGGTGTTCAAACCGAGAGCATCACAATTAAATAAATTTTTGATGGGTAAACAAAATATACGAGAAACGAAATACAGAACTTGAAAGAGTAAAATTGTCTCTGTACAAGAACAAGAACTACCGTGCAGCTGGTTGTGCAATGGAGTCATCAACTGACAGGTAATTATCAGTTCCAACGAAATCCAGGGAACTGACGTTAAGGTTAGAATTCATAGACTGCATTGACATCTCATCCGAGGTACCTTCTCTCACGGCCAAGGATTCTTTTTCAATTAAGATTGCATCTTGAATCTCCTTGAGAACTTCAGAAATGGATGGTCTCATGTGTCCGTGAGGCTGCACACACATCAGAGCTTTCTCGGCAATCTTCCACATTGACTGGATTTCGTATTCATTCTGTAGGGAGGGATCTATGATTCCTTGAATGTCCCCACTCTCAATGTGCAACTTTGCCTGCCATACAATTATTCAAGGCAATTAGATACATCAAGGTATACCCATATGCAATTACAACAACGACTTTCAGCAGAAGTATTGTTTGTAGAACATAAGCTGTGTCAGTGTGTGTGCGCGTTGACATAAAAGGATCAGCAGAGAGTTTCCAAAAGTATCCTGCTCTAAGTAACTTAGAGGACTTACCCATTGGACAATGTTACGACAATTAGCACCAAAGCTTTCATTAGAAATGGCTTCTTGACCAGACATCAGTTCCAGAAGAATGACGCCAAAGCTATAGACATCACTCTTGTCTGTTAATTGCTGAGAAATATAATACCTGGGAAGTGGACATCACAGGAGTGTATAAAATTGTAAATAGCATGGACTATGCAAATTGGTGCTCAACATGATTTAGGCAAAATAGCTAAGTTTTGGGAAGAGAGGCATACTCTGGATCAAGGTATCCTACAGTGCCTCGAACCATGCTTGACACATGTGACACTCCATCAACTGCAAGTTTTGAGAGACCAAAATCTGAGACCTTTGCCTTCATATGCTTGTCAAGAAGAATGTTGCTAGTTTTCAAGTCCCTATGGATAATGGCTGGAACACAGCCTGTGTGAAGGTATTCAATCCCTGGGTGCAACAATGAAGGAATGTCATTTTTAGCTCTTGAACAAATGAGAACTGCACAGAAAAGAACATATTTATTATTATCCTCTAGCTTATGAACCTCTTGCAGCATCTTCAGCAATCTCAAGGCGTTTTATCCAACTGATACGTTGTTCACGTGTTGATGGACCTGCAGCAGTAGAGGGGATGAGTACCAAATTTTATCTGGCTTCCAAATGGATGAAGACATAAAGTTACCATAGAGATGTTCCTTGAGAGTTCCATTGTGCATGAACTCATAAACAAGCAAATTTCTCTCTTCCTCTTGGCAATATCCATGAAACTGCACCAGGTTTCTATGATGTATCCTTGAAAGAAGTTTTACCTATGCCACAAGTCAAAATTTCACAAGATCTTCAGTTTCTAATGGCCATAGACAAAAATGCCAACTGGTTAGGCATAAGTAAGTCAAACCCCATTCCCCACTGCAATAGGGAGAAACAAGAAATGAATTCAAGTAATTCAAAGTGCAGGGACTTTAGCTGTCATGTTTGGATACCTCATTAGTAAATTCTCGCTTTCCTTGGAAGGAATTACTGATAAGAACCTTCACAGCAATTTCCTTGCCATCTTTTAGTTTTCCATAATATACAACGCCAAAACCTCCAGAACCTATTTTCTTCTCAAAGTTACTTGTAGCATTTTCAATTTCTGAGAATGCAAAACAATGTGCTGCTTCTGCTGGAGCATCACCCAAGCTGGAAACTGCCCGATGAACAGGCAAGGAATGCTGAACTTGTTCTGAAAAAAAAAAAAAAAAAAAAAAAAAAAAAACTATTCACATTGAGCCAACTAAGATAGTCCAGTATGTTAACACTTCAAAAATCCAACCTAATACCTTTCACATGACTTTTCTTCCCCTTGCACAAAAGAATGAAAGACACAAGAGTAGCTATGAGCAGAACAGCAGCTCCAACTGATGAACCAATGATTACTCTAGTGCGCTTCCCTTTTCCACCATCCTTGTGAAGATTAATGTTTCCAGAGTAGCTATGGAGAACCAGAAAGGCAATTTTAATATACCAGACCATGAGACAAACATAATAGAACATAAGAGTGGTAAGGAGAAGGAAGAGGATAAATCATTTTTTAAGTGGAAAATTCAGTCTAGGATGCTTTAACTGACAACTATCAAGTTAAACCAGTGAAGTTCCACAGCATTTTCAGAACTCAAGATGTAAATATGACAGTTTCCAGTTTCCACCAATCTTTAGGAAATGTACTAACATATCATAGACGGTAAGATCTGAATGATACTTACTCAAAATCCAAGTCTTTACTCAGAAGACCTGATGGTACTTTCCCAGATAACATATTATTTTGCACATGCCTGCAACCACCAGAGGGATCAAGTATATAACATCATTCCTAGGAAGTGGCATGGCAACCATTCACAAATAATTGACTCAACAGAAATAAATATACCCAATAACCATTCAGATTAACAAAATGGTCCAAATTCAAACACTGATTAAGAAATATATTTTAAATATTCACTCGGTTAAGATTTGAAAAGTGTTGCACCTAAGCTTGTATCTCAACTGTTGGGCAACAAAAATAACCAATATCCAAGTTAGAATAACTTACAGTAGCCTCAGGTTCGGTAGGTTTGTTAAATATGAAGGCAGCTCACCCGTCAAGTGATTGTTCTCAAGATGACTGTATCAGACAACGATTTTACTAGCCAATATTCGATAAGAAAACATAATTGAAAAATAAGTCATTGGTATTTACATGATCTTCAAGTTTATGCATGCACTGAAATCAGGAATTGGACCAGTCAGCGAATTCCCATCTAGCCATCTGCAGAGAAAAGATGACTAAGAAATGGAGAAAAATAAAAAGAAGATGGTTGGCCATGACTCAACAAACATCAGAAAGTGCATAAAGCTCCAGTAAAAGAATAATGCAGTCTGGAGCTTACAACTCAACTAAACCGCTCAACTTTGTCAAGTCAGAAGGAATATTCCCTGTCAAGTTCTTGCTTGATAAGCGGCTGTAAAGCACCGATGATGCAAAAGTAATCATTATATCAGAGTTTCTTCTTAGAGATTTTGAAGTAATATGTGACTAAAACAAGAAATAATTCTATATATGCATCATATAGAACCTCAAGGATAAACCTTTACATGGAAACTATCCTTGGTTGTTTATCTGAGTTACACTGCACCCAAGACCAATGAACTGGCAGACATGGATCACCACCCTCTTGTGCCCAGTCTGCTGAGTAGAGTGAAGTTACCTTTTCAATAACTGCTCCTGCAACTCAAGCAAAGTTTCAGATATGATATAAGCAGAACTCCCAAAGTTCAATCAGTGTGAGGAACCCAAGATTATAATCACCATGCCACTTTAGCAGTTATGAAAATATTGGCTCTAAGGAGTGCATACAAATAGTCTATGAGCACTCAAGGAACAGCTACCATACTTACCATCAATGGAGCCATCATTTTTCTCCACATACTTACTTATCTCCATGGCATTCAAAAGTGGTCCCCTGGTAGAATCAGAAGTCTTGCTAAATCCAAATGATAGGGTAAAGGGAAGGCTTATGTTGGGATACCCTGGTCCATAAACTCGATATTTTCTTTGAGCATTTTCTTGGATATTCACTGTATCTTTGCTCAATTCTGGTTTGCCTGGGAGGACCAGCCTGAATTTTCTGGACTCATCAGCAGCTAAATCTTCAATTTCTGCAAAGTAGCTGAATGCCCAGCCAGAACCAGGAAAACCATGCAAGTTCAGTCGAT